CCCCCCCCCCCCCCCCCCAAACATCTGCAAATTATATAATTGGTTTATACTTCTGCCTTTTCCCCGCAATGCTCATGTTTTCCCTATAGATGGTGCAGAAGAGGCTAAAAGCATTTTAGCATTTATGCATGACTTTTACATGTCTGTTATCTTAGTTCACGCGAACGCTCCTGACCTGGCCCTCCTGTTCAATTTTAGGACAAAAAAAAAACGTTTGCCCATGCCTGGTATATACCTTAATTTACAGTGAAACAGGATACCCACATCGCCTAACCCCTTTTTAGGTAAATGGATTAAAACATTACATTACATTACATTTTACGGATACTTGGTGCTGACATAGTATTTTTTTTTTTTTTGTTGTAATGAGTCTTAGTTGAAAATACACGTCAACTGATGGCACTTCATAGATGAGATGCAATGAAAACATTAACTACCTATAAATGTGAGCAAAAAATGTAGCAATACAGCAATTCTGCGATAATTTAACGTTTTCAGGCGTAATTGTAAACAGGCGTCTAATGCACCTTGACATTGAGAGAAATATCCAGAGAATCGAAGTTAAGATAGTTTAGTCTGGTTTGTTTTTTTTTTATTCCCATGCTCCGTCTCTAACAGTCTCTAGCGACATCAGGTGGAGCCACGAGAAATTGCAGCAGGTTTTTGAAAGAGAATTTTTAAGAACGGGCGTGTTTTTTTTTTTTTTTGTTTAAATATCAAAATCTGCCACCAATATATTGATAATATACAGCAAGACGAAATATCACAATAAAGCAATAGCTATTTTTGGCCTACTCATCCCCCATTATAGAGCAGGGGAATTTGATACATTTAAAATTGAGTCTTAATATAAATGTGAAGTCTTTGTTTTTTTTTATGTTTGCCCCCCTATTCAGCTTCCAAGCTACAAAAACTTTAAAGGAATCATCCATGAACTTGGTCAGAACCAGTACCTAGTCAGTGGAGAGGTTTCCGTCTTGGACAAGAACACGATTGAAATCACTGAGCTTCCTGTTCGAACGTGGACACAGGTACATTTTTTAAAAATTCCTTTTAAGATCTATTAAAAAAACAAATTTTTTTTTTTTTTTTTTTAATTCCTGTAATTAACTTGCTGCAACTACTGCCCCCTAAAGGCCTACAAGGAGTCTGTGCTTGAGCCCATGCTGCAAGGCACTGACAAAACACCAGCCCTCATCACAGATTATAAGGAGTACCACACAGACACAACTGTCAAGTTCGTGGTCCGCATGACCGAGGAGAAGCTGGCTCAAGCTGAGGCCGCCGGCCTCCACAAAGTGTTCAAGCTGCAGTCCAGCCTCACCTGTAACTCCATGGTAAAGCCTCCAACCATTTGGGACATCCCTGCTGTTTTTATTACAGATAATAAGAGTGGACTTATTTTATTTATTTTTTATTTTTTTTAATCCCCGTTTCTTCAGGTTCTCTTCGACCACATGGGTTGTCTAAAGAGGTACGAGTCAGTCCAGGACATCCTCAAGGAGTTCTTTGAGCTCCGTCTGCAGTATTACAAATTGAGGAAGGACTGGTTACAGGGCAGTCTCGGAGCTGAGGCGGCAAAACTGTCCAACCAGGCTCGCTTTGTCCTTGAGAAGATTGAGGGGAAAATTACAATTGGTAGGATTGACATATAGATATTTTTGATTTTTATTTTCATATCAGCCACTTGAAGGGAAGTATCTGTTTCAGAACGTCTTCTTGTCTCTCTTAACAGAAAACAAATCCAAGCGAGAACTCATCCGTCTCCTGATTCAGAAAGGTTATGAGTCTGATCCAGTGGCAGCTTGGACCAAAGCACAAGAGAAGGTACTGTAATCAATACTTCATGAATGGATTTTTTTTTTTTTTTTTTTAAAAAAACAACATTATACCTTTGGTATAAAGTTCTTCATTTTCAATTTGTGTGGAAACGTTTTCGTCGTATATCGCGTATTGCACTGTAGAAACGTTGGAAATAATATATTAAATTAATTAATTATTAATTAATTAATTGGTCCGAATCAATGGCCCTCCAGAAAGTGAAAGTGAATTATTTGTCATTGAGACACGGCGCACGCACGAAACAAAATGTGACCGCTGCTTTTAACCCATCACCAAAATGAGCGGCGTGTGTAGGGACGGTGCCGTGCTCACGGCAACCCTAGTCGCAACTTGGCAGCCGGTGGACTTGAACCTGTAACCTTCCAGACCCAAGTCCGCTTCCTTAACCACCGATCCACCACTGTCCCTAGGCTGTATTGTACTGTATATGAATTTGCAGATAATATATGTGTGTGATCTGGACCCATTAATCCACAATTTCCAATATGGTTTAATTAGTATAGTTATATAATTTATTTATTATATAATTTCCTATAACCAGTATAAAAATGCACTTCAATAAATCGTTCCTGTGTCAAGACTAAAAGACTTTTGATTTGTTTTTATCTAATTAATTCATATTTTTACCATAATGAAAAATAAAATACTGCGTTGAATGGCTATGGTTAAGGGAAATCTTATAAAAAAAAATTTAAAAAAAATTTACCCACTGTTTACTGATTTCTGCATATGCTAATTCATGAACAGGACGAAGGTGACTTCTAGCGAATCTTCATATTATATATGTATGTAGACAGAAATCATTTTTGGCTGGGCTAATTGCCGTTTTTGTCATTTCTCCAGCAGGCTCAAGAGGAAGAGGACAATGATGGAAACGAAAGTGACGGCTCTTTGGATTCAGGCTCCTCATCTGGGCCCAACTTTAATTACATCCTAAACATGCCCCTGTGGTGCCTCACTAAAGAGAAAGTGGAGGAGTTGCTCAAACAAAGGGACCATAAGGTTTGTTTTTTTTTTTTCTTTATAGTATGCTGTTCAATCATACGATATTTACTTTAGTTTTCATCCTTAAACAAAATGTCCGTTAAGTTAAATCAAGGTCAGCAGGACTGAGCACGTGTGTACAAGTAACATCTGTCTTCCCAACAAGTCTTGTAAAACTGGATCAACACAAAAAGCTAGATAGACACGTTAAAAGTAATTAATTACACTGTGATTTTATTCAGCACACTTTTAAAGGTGTACGCAGGATTTCTTCACAATATATTCCACATTCTCGTATTCATCTGTCTTCCCAACAAGTCTTGTAAACTGGATCAACGCAAAAAGCTTCTTTACAATATATTCCACATTTTTGTATCGCCTTTTTTGTAGCAAAAGACCCAGTATTTGGCAGCAACTTTGTCTTACCCTGGCGCAGGCAAACGTTTTGAAAAAAAATGCTTTTATCATTTTCTACCCCATCTATTGAGGAAACGTGGGTATTGAAGTGGAAAGACAAATATAAATAAGTTATATAATTTGGAAAAGTTTGGGCCAGATTAAAAAGCCGAACGGGCCACTTCCGGCCCCCAGGCCTTAGTTTGTCCATGCATGGCCTAACCTAACCTTTGGTTTGCAAATAATCACCATGTCCTTTTTCACTCAGTTAAAAGTGATTGAAAGCAAAAAAAAAAAAAAAAATGAGTATAAATACAGAAGCCAGGGTCAAACATGCAGGCTGCAAAACAGGCCAGCTAGCTAGGGTGTTCAGACCGGCCCGCAAAATATGAATAAATAATACATATCTAAATCTAGTTGTACTTCTTTGCATGAAAACAAAGTGGGAAAAAATATGGACTTATTGTAAGTTATCATTTATTATGTTAAGATTGAACTGGTCCGGCCCACTTCGACATCTAGAACCAAAATGGGTTTGACAGCCATGGTTTAAAACTGTACATAATAAAAAAAAATATTTTTTTATATTTGTAAAAGTAAATTTGTAAGATTGAATAATACATGAAGGGGAAAAGAATACATCACATCCATAGAGTGGTAACTGGACTCCTCGACGTTGCAGCCAACTTTGTGATAAAATACGGCAGGACTCATCTGATGTGGGATTATCAATGAACATGAGCTATAAATGTTTGATAAGTATTGATGTAAATGTGTGTGTGTGTGTGTGTTGATGTGTGCAGACAGGAGAACTGAATGATCTCCTGAAGAATTCACCCGAGGATCTGTGGAAAGGGGACCTGGCAGTCTTCATCGAGGAACTAAATGTAGGTGTGGTTTTTGATCTGCGGGTGTGACTGAAAATCTCAACAGAGTGGTTTGAATTCCAATGCTGTAAAGATTATTTGTGTTGCCAGAGGTCCTTAAATGTTCTGTTTGCTGACTGAGGTGTACCTGACAAACGCTGTGTTCTTTTGTGTGTTTTGTCAGAACGTGGAGAACCAAGAGCGAGAGGAACAGAATTCAGGAAGGGCCATCAAACTGGTCAAGGGTAAAGTGGGCAAACCCAAAGCAAAGAAACTGGCCCTCGAGGAGACCCTGCCATCGCCGTTTGGCCGCAGGGTTGACCCTCCGGCTCAACCAGTCAAATCTGATGCCTCAAAGAAGCTGACCAAAAAGAAGAAGGTATTAGGGAGCGTTGTCAAATTGCAACGAGGAGACAAAGGTTTTTTGGTTTTTCTTTTTTTTTTTTTTTTTAGTTACAGTTTGCCATTTCTTCCTAGGGTGATACAGACCTGTCACTGA